GAGAAATGCCTATTCAGATTCTTTGCCTATTTTTTAATCAGATTATTAGTTGTTTTGTTGTTGAGTTGTTTGGGTTTCTTGTATATTCTAATGCTTGATTAGACGTATAGTTCACTACACATGTATTTTCTCCCATTTGAAAGGCTGTCTCTTCACTCTGTTTCTTATTTCCTTTGCTGTACAGAGCCTTTTAGTTTAATATAGTCTTATTTGTCTATTTTTATTTTTATTGTCTGTGCTTTTGAAGTATCACTCATAAAATCTTTTCTGGACCAATGCCCTAAAGCATATCCCTTATATTTTATCTAGAAATTTTATAGTTTTTGGTCTCATAGTTGCATCTTTAATCCATTGGGAGCTAATTTTTGTAGATGGTGAGAGAGGGGCTTCGTTTTGTTTTTCTGCATATGGGTATCCAGTCTTCTCAGTATGAATTATTGAAAGGCATGTTCTTTTTCTCATGTATGTTTTTGGTGTATTTGTTGAGAATCAGTTGGTGGTAAAATCATGGATTTGTTTCTGGGTTCTCTATTCTGTTCTACTGATCTCTGTGTTCTGCTTTTATACCAGTGCCATGCTGTTTGATTATGTACAGCCCTGTAGTGTATTGCAAAGTCAGGTAGTATGATGCCTCCTACTTTGTTCTTTTTGCCTAGTATGACTTTGAAGTTCAGGGTCTTTTTTTTTATTTATTTTAATCCATTAAGCCAGTTTATATCTCGTAATTGGGAAATATAAACCATTTACATTTAAGATTGTTATTGATAAAGACTCACTCTGTCATTTTGTTAATTGTTTTCTAGGAAGTTTTGCATATCCTTTCTTACTTTTTTTGCTTATCTTTGTGATTTGATGATTTTCTACAGTGACAACATTTGAATTAATTCTCTTTCCCATTTGGGTGTCTGCTCTGCCAGTGAGTTTTATACTTTCATGTGTTGTCTTGATGGTAGCAATTGTCTTTTTGCTTCCAGATTTAGGACCCTCTTACGTATTTCTTCTAGGATCAGTCTAGTGGTGATGCTTTTTCTCAGTTATTGCTTGTCTGTGAAAGACTTTATTTCGCCTTTATTTCCAAAGGATAGATTTGCTGGCTATGATATTCTTGGCTAATTTTTTTTCTTTCATCACTTTGAGTATATCATTTCATTCTTTCCTGGCCCATAAAGGTTCTGTGGAGAATTATGCTGTTAGTCTGATGGAGATTCCCCTACTTGTGACTTAATACTTTCCTTTACTGTTTTTAGAATTTTCTCTTTCTCTTTAACTTTTAATAGTTAATCTCTTATGTGCCTAGGAGATAAAATTTGGGGGTTGAATGTACTTGAGATTCTTTGTACTTCTTGTATCTGGATGTCTTTATGTCTCCCAGGATTTGAAATATTTTCAGCTGTTATGTCATTAAATGGATTTTCTATAGCTTTTCCCATATCTTCTCATTCTGGAACTCCCAAATGCAAATATTGGTAAGAATTCAATGAATGAAATTAAAAATGTAATTAAGCCCTT